AGTTCAAGATAGTGGACATTTTGATAAAAAAGCTGAAATTTAAGAGATAAAAGTGAAAAAAGCGGAAATCCGCTTAAAAAACGGAAAAATCTCATCCCTGCTTTAAGGACTTTTACACAACATTTTAAGGAAATTTTAAAAGATTATTAAATTCAGAGTATAACCATAAAAATTACAAAAGTATAAAAGTGGATTACAATCATTTTATTAAATATTCACCCCTACAAATTAAAAAAGCATGGAAGCAAGAGAATGTATATTTTTTCTATAGGCAATGCATGCAATATGTCGGTAAAAATTGCTGAACACTTTCGTATAAAATTAGAACCAGAAAATCTGATTATTAAAATAAAAAATGGCATTTTTACCTTCTTTTCAGTACAGTAAATTACTTTACCTACAGTAAAGTAACTAACATGGACACACTTTTTTTTTAATTAAAAATAATCAACTTATTAATTTAGAAAAGAAAAAAGAAGAAGCTTTGCACTGAAATCAAATTGAATTATACACGAGTATTAATAGCACAAGGCTCAAGGATATAGAACCCTCAAAACATATGATATAGATTAGATAACACATAAGGAAATAAAAAGTGGCATGTCTAAACATGAAACAGTTTTTCAAATTATAGTAAAAATGCATAAAAAATAAAATTATATGAGATAAAAATACCAATAGCTGCTCACATTAATCGATATCAATTAAGCATTAAAAAAAAATTTCAACATATAATAAACAAATTTTGCATTGTTTCAATTTTATAAACAAACTCTGCATGAAAATCAGTTCTTATATCATTCTTGCCTCTTCATATTCAATGACATAGCGAATCTGAATATGACCCCCCTTTTCTAAGAACTCACCCCTGTATTAATCACTTTTTGGTAATTTTATGGACGAAAATTTCATTTGAGAGAACAATCATATTAAACTTTAATTTTATTCCGAGAGGCTAGAAAGGTGAAGAGTTGAAGAAGAAAAAAAAATTAACAATTGTAGCAAGGAGATAAATTTTCAGGTGGTTTACCCTCTAAAATTGTAAGAAAAATTAATTTTAAAAATAACTAAGAAAAATAAATTTAAGAACTTTTCAAATCTCTCAGAGATTAAACAGTTAAAAAAATTCTACTCCATTCCAAAGATAAATAATAGGTAATAAAAATAAATAAAAGTGATAAATACAGGGGATGGCATTTCCCAAAACAGTGAATGAGACTGACATTTAGAATCAGCAGAAATAAGTTTCAGAGTTTGAATTTTACTGATTAACTTATTTTGCAGTGCTCTTATAGAATATTTCAAAAATAGAAGTTGTATCCACAGAATAAATTAAATTTTTTTTTCTTTATTATCAGATTGATGTTTACTGGCCTACATGTCTCAATATTAAGACTTAAAACAAACAAAAAAAGATTTAAAAATTTTTTTTTAGAAAAAGCATCCATTACTTGATTTGCAAGACCATGGAGAGGACCAGCTAAACCGTTCATGCCAGCAGAGAAAGAAAGGTATGGATCAGAGAGTGCACTTCCAACTAGATGAACAGTATGAGCACTTACATTGCCACCTTCATGATCACTAATAAAAAATAAAAAAAAACTTATTAGTAAGATTTTTCTACTAATAACCCTGTTAGTATAGAACGTTTGTAACACACTAAATAACTGACAAGGGGGATTACGAAGTATAAAAATATTCATGTAAGACATTAAATTACCTTTCTTTATATATAAAAAAGTCATTAGGTGTGAAAAGAACACTTGTGATTCGTTAATTTTTGCTGTAAAGAGGAGAAAAGGTCTGTAATCACCACAATATAAAATAATTTGAATTTCAATTTATGAGAAAAGTAATGAAATAGATAAGAGCAAACTTTTCTTTTCTTTTAATCATCGCTTACACACATTTGTTTCTTGCTAAGAGTTAATGATATAATTAACACATTTCTTCACAATATCTTAAGAAATACATTCAAAATGTGAAGCTGTTATCGTAAATAAAGAGGATTTGGGAAGATGCCATCAAATTATTCTTATTGCTTGCAAAATTGATTCATAGCTTAAATGGTTTATTGAAAGATATTTAGAATTTCTATTTCATTTTAGAATTTCAATTATCACTCTGAATAACTTTTGATCTAATGATGGGATCTCCACGTTCTAGGACTCATTTTAATGGTTCAAGAGACTATGCTAATTATGGGTGGTCAGTTTTTGGAGCATTGTGCATTAAATAATAGCATAATCAAGTGAAACTTTACTTCGAAAGCAAATAAATTTGAAAAAATAAATAACAAAGCCAAAAAGCACAATATTAACTTCAGCTTCGCAATACCATAGCGAAATCAATTTTAAACTATACCTGTGTATAGTCAGGTACAGGCGCATAAGCTCTGTAAACTGAGCATCTTCATAACCGAGCATCGATGCGAAGTTATGAGACCAATCTTTGTTCATATCGATTGCTCCGATGCTGGTGGCATCACGATATAGATTTCTATAAATAGTTGCAGCTATCGGTGGAAGTTTTGCAATGAGACTCATTGCGTCATCAAAGGTTAGCTGCAAATAAAAAAGCACACATTGAAGATAAATGAATTTTTGTTTTCTTGTATGATTTTATTTGTAAACTTCGAATACCTTACCTCCCAGTATTTAGCTTTTGAAACTCCTTCACTGTATGCTTTAGCAAATTTACTCTCTGTATTGCAAGCTGTGATTGCAGCACTAAATTGAGACATAGGATGTAAATTTGATGGGAAATTATTTAACATGGTGACAACATGAGAAGGTAGATCCGCAAGGTCAGCCCATTGTTTAGACAGTGACTTAACCTGTGTAAATAAAATAGAAAACTAAATTTTCATATCAGAAAAAAAAAATTTGAAGCATTTATTTGATAGAATATAATCAAAAATCAGGCAGTGACAAGCAAGTTATAATGGACTAAGTTTCAAAAATGAATAGAATATAATCATTTGTTATGTTTTTGATTTGTGCTGCTTTCTCTATCAAAGAATTATTTTAAAAATTATAACAAAATAAAGAATTATGTTATGTGGTGGGAGTGTGAATTGAATTGTTTGAAAAGTTGCAATTGGGTGATTGCTTAAAATTCAAAAGTTGTAGCAATTCAGCTTTAATGGCTCTGTGTTATAAAACTCTTGTTTTAAACGACTTTCATATGCATTTGATTCTTATTATCATTATTTCCATATCCTGCGGTTTACCAAAATTCAAATTAGTGAAATTTTAAGGTGTATACATAATTTAATTATATATGGGTATATAATAATAAAATTATGAATGAATTTACTATCAAATAAAAAAAAAGCATACTAGGATAAGACTAAATTAAAAATTATTATGCAATACAGAAATTTCATACTTCATCATAAATTGATAAATTAATAACTAGGAATCAATGTTCTATTATTTGGTTTAATTAAAACTAGCCCTTATAACCTTTTAAATTAGGGGTGCACAACCTTTTTCAGTGAAGGGCCACATGCACAGCAGATTGACCAATGAAGGGCCGCATGCCAAAGTGTTTAGACCGACATATTGAAAGCAATTGTTGATGGTGATTGTTATATAAACATCATTGTTTATATAACACTAAATTCTTTTTGTCGGTTTACCTTGTAATCTCTTTGCAGAAAATACAATACTTTAAAGCGTTTAAATTTAGAAAATGCAAAACTGATTACTTAAGAAGGAAAACAGAATTCGAAAATCAGAATCAATTTATCAGAAAAAATTTANCTATCAAAGAATTATTTTAAAAATTATAACAAAATAAAGAATTATGTTATGTGGTGGGAGTGTGAATTGAATTGTTTGAAAAGTTGCAATTGGGTGATTGCTTAAAATTCAAAAGTTGTAGCAATTCAGCTTTAATGGCTCTGTGTTATAAAACTCTTGTTTTAAACGACTTTCATATGCATTTGATTCTTATTATCATTATTTCCATATCCTGCGGTTTACCAAAATTCAAATTAGTGAAATTTTAAGGTGTATACATAATTTAATTATATATGGGTATATAATAATAAAATTATGAATGAATTTACTATGAAATAAAAAAAAGGATACTTGGATAAGACTAAATTAAAAATTATGCAATACAGAAATTTCATACTTCATCATAAATTGATGAATTAATAACTAGGAATAAATGTTCTATTATTTGGTTAAATTAAAACTAGCCCTTATAACCTTTTAAATATACTGAATTTAAGCCATAAAATTTTTTTGTTCACAGCATGTTAAAATCAAGGTTATGTTCTTAGCTGTTACACAAGGAAAAAAGATTAAGTTATAGAATAGCGTGTCAGAAGGGGGAAATTGAGATTTCTTTGATTTTTCTTTATTTCTTGCTTCTATCAAGTTGATTTTATTCTGATTTATTGTTTCCAGAAATTTTTTAAATAGTAAAAAATATATACTGTAGCAACTAAATATCCTAACACTTGGAAAAAATTATTTTTAACAAATTACTACAGAAATTCTCAAAAACCACAATTTTTATTACGCAACCAAAATCCTGACTATAAAATTGTAATAATTATGGATAGATCACAATCAGGGTTGGGAATTTGGACATCCTATACTTGTTTTGGACAGGACATGTTGGCTTTACTGTCTTAAACTGACTAAAACTGTCCTAAACGGACTAAAACTGTCTTAAGTGTCCAAAACCTTGAACATTGGTAAAAGATAAAATTTCCATAAGTGTAACTATTATACACATAATGATTACATATATCAAAAAATATTTGATACTTTTTAAACAATTTGCTTTCACTTATCAAAGTAAAATAATGCAATATAATAGGAAAAGATTTATAACTTTTAAAGTTCCACAATTCAATGAACAACAAAAGTGAATACCTTACCTTTTACGAACAAATAACTATGCTTTTAATACTGATGAATTATAATTTTGCATAAGGATAAATAATACAATATTAAAAAAAATAATAAAAATTTTTAATAAAAAAAAACTTGTCTTCATTTTTCCTGTTCAAAAATTAATCTTTTATTTTTCACAAATTTCTTTTCTTCTTCAAATTGTGACATAATTTGAATAAAAGGGTTTTGGACAGGATAATTTAAACTGAGGAATAATCCATTCTGAACAAAACCTTGTCAACTCAAATCGAAATAGTTGGTTTCTCTAAATGTTGCACTAATATGCTATTAGCAACGATCAGGGAGTCACCCATCCAAAGATAATACAGGAACAAGTAAGCACTACACTATAACAATTTTAGAGAAGATGTTTAATTGAATTTAAGAAAATATAAGGTTAAAATGTAATTTTACCTGGTTCTCTGTAGGAACGTCACCAGTCATGAGTAACCAGAATAGACCTTCTGGAAGAGGTTCCTCCCCACCAGGGGCACTGGGTAATTGTTCTTGACAGTCTGGAATGGTTAGATCTCGGAATCGGATGCCTTCTTCAGGATCAAGGTAAGAAGTTTCAGTCACTAAACCTTTCATACCTCTCATACCACCATAGATCTAATAGAAAACAATAATTATTTAATACATTCTTTTAAAGAAAATTTTTTTTCAATGCAGTATTCTGCACACAAAAAAAAGAAACATTAGAAAATTTGGTCACATTGTTTCAAAGAGTGACAAGGTTCCCTATCAATTTTAGAAATAAAATTCTTCGATTTTTTCAAGAAATTTCCAGATTACATTTTCGCTATACAAGGCAATATTTCATCAATGATTTTCTTCCTTTTTCTTTAATAAGTAATGAAATTTCCTTTCTGATAGAAAATGACAAATATTTTTACTGTATAAAATTAAATTTCACTAAGTAAAAGTTTAACATGAGGATTTCCTAATATAATATGTCAACTATAGATAGAAGTAATGTTTTGCATAAAAACCGAAACAAAAATTTAACATAGATTAGTAATTAATAAAGTGAAACGTGCTATTTGTAAAAACCAAAATTAATTTATAAAGAGAGCTTAATTTTTAAAAATATAGTATTATTTAACATTAAATATGGTTATTTAAAAATAGTTATTACATAAAGCATCATGAAAAGTTTAAAAGAAAAAATTTTTAACAGAGAAACTTTCCCAAATTAAAAATTAATATTCTAATTTAAATATATCTTAAAAAATGTAACATTGCGAAAATTTTTACCTAAAATAATAAAAATACAAGTTGAGCATCATCGGCTAGGTACTTATTGTTACCAAGAAATTTGAACTATTATTATTAAGTTGTGGCCAAAAATTTCATTATTCCCAGACTCTTTTTCCCAAAATAAAATTCCCTAGGGTATCCTGCATAATTCACCCAATCAACCAATAAACAAAATGTCTGGTCTTGTACATAGTTTATTCTTGGTTCATAAACAGAACTAACAGAAGGGTGGAAAAATACAAAGATTCAGTTTCAGCTTTTTTTAACCATTTGTTTCCAAGTTATGCATTTTGAAAATTAAATTTTTTTTTTGCAGTTTTGAAACGGCTATAACCTGAGAACTTAGAGAGCTAAATTTTTTATTATTTGGCACAGTTTTTAAAAATTTTAAATTTTACTTAACTTTTAGTAATGTATGTATGCTAAATTTCAAGATGGTATTTCTATAGGATCATCAAGGGGAAAATGTTTTATGGTTTAACAATGACAAATCATGTAGTAAAAATACATTACTTGCATTTATTTTTTTTTTTTATTTATGATTCCATAGGAAAACCACCTTAATATTTGACACAGATATTGCTAAAAAAAAAGCAACATAAAACATTTAAAAATAAAAAAAATCATTAAGTTTTTGAAAATGTAAATTCAATTTTTTTTTAAAAAAAATTGAGTGCTATTAAAAACTAAACAAAAGGACACAAAATTTAATGCCCAAAAGTCAATTATTTTTAAATTATAACTGTTTAAAATTTAAAAAACTTATAAATTTTTAAAATTGCATAGCTCAGAAACTGGTAAAAAAAAAAAGTCAGAAATTTGGTATATTTCAAATTAGAAGCAGGTTTAATGCTAAAAATAAATAAATACTGAATTGTTCACATAATTTTTTTTTTTTTCAGTTTTATTATTATTGCTTGATTTGATATGGAATTACTCAAAATCTGAAATTTTTTCATACTAAATGGTGAAACAAATATATTTACTAATGAAAAAAAATTTTTTTTTAATTTCTTTTACTTATTAGATAAGGAAAAATTTAAATCTAGAGAATTAAAAAAGTAAAATTTACTTGATCGATATTAATTTCTCCAATAACTTTACTACCATACATTTCTCGAAACTTTTTCACATTCTTCTGATGTTCAATTATCTTCTTAGCCATAATTCCTTTCAAGTCCTAAAATGTAATAATTTAACATGAAATATAATAAATTAGTAAATTTGTATGCATTTAACATTAAGAATTAAATAGGTAACTTACTGTACTGTCGCTGGTAATATTCCTTGTTAACGCTGACAAAGGGGCAATGCTCTAAAAATAAATTAATAAATTTTAGTTTTAAGCAATAGTACTTAACTTACAAGTGTAATAGTGTTTAAGTTAGTATAAACATAACTTAAAATTATTTTTATTAACCAACAAAATAATTCATTTTGCCTTAAACAAGTTTTCATACTGAAATGCAACTAAATAGGCAATCAAAAAGTAAAAATTGTTTTATCCCTATAAATAAATTACTTTTCATGAGTGTTCAGTTTCAAAACCAGTTCCATCTACACTTAAAAAAAAAAAAAATCCCTTTAATAAGTAATAATAGGTCATAGTTCTTCCTCAGCTATTTAGATTAATTTTAGATTAAATATAACACTTGGACCATGCAGTAAAAACATCCTACTTAAAAGAGGTGTCAGTAGAACTCTTTTTTTTTTATGCGATCATTGATCTGGCTTTAAAACTTAAATCTAATTTAAATGTTAAAGATTTTAGTTGTAATTATTTATTATTTACTGTTGATTAAACATAAATACATATAGTTCATTTATTTGTTTTCGGTTTCAAAGCTTTTTAACAAGGCTGCCATTAAATATAAATGATTAATCATAGAATCTTCAAAAGTAAAGCCTTCAAAAGTAATAAGAACTAAATAACCTTACAGTCTAAAATTAGTCTATTACTATCACACAGTTATTATTTCTTGATATTCACTGAATCCATAAATATAAAACAATTATTTAGCAAATTATATCAACAACTACAAATACTTTTTTTTTCTTCATTCAGTTACATAAGATGATTTTGTATAGAAGAGTTAATACAGAAAAACTCTAAATTTTAAAATACTTATTACTCTTATTAAAATAATAAAACCAAAACAATTTTTGGAAAAAAAACCTTTTCTTAAACTAAAATAGCAAATAAATATAAAACAGAAAAGTTTCAGTAGAAATAAAAAGAAAGAAAGAAAGAAAAAAAGGCAGAAGATAATAAAAAATGATAAGAACATACTTGAAAAAGTAGATGCTATTAAGAAAATAAATATTAGATAACAGGCATATTATCAGCAGAAAGCGTAAAGCAAAGAAATCTCAAGCAGCAGTAGTCTTTTTCAATCATTAGAAGCCTACACTAAGCACTTACAAGGTAAGATTTACACTTTTAAACATTTCTTGACTGTCATTGATAAACTACAACCTGTTTTTAATAATTTTTTACAGTTAGGGATTATTTTAAATGATAAATAATAAATGGTTATAATATCAAATGTGGTAATACACATTCAATATATTTAAAGTATTACTTTACATAATGTAAAGTCTAAATTAAATTTCTACAGATAAATCTGATTTCTTGAAGTAAGTTTAAAAACCTTATGAAATAGAATAATATAAACATTCTGGTATTTTAAATTTAAGATTAGTATAATATATAAGCATTTAGTTTTCAACTATCTTATTCATTTATTTTTTCGGTAATGAAATGTGAGAGTGTGTATTCATGAAGTGCAATTTTTTTAAAGGATTTTCAGAATAATGAGTGAAAACTAATCACTATAATGATTAATGAATTAAGCAAAACTTGACAATAATATGTGAATATAAAAAATACCTACATAAAATGAGTATTATGTATTAGTTAATAATGCATAGATTTTTAGAAACAAAAATACACCTTTTCCACTAAAATGAAAAGGAAAAAAAAATAGATTGAAAAAAACCTAGCATAAAGAAATTTTTTTTTATGTATTCAAGTTATGCAATAAGTAACTTTTTGGTTGATTACTTAAAAATTGAACAATGTCAGGTATATTTATTATTTATAGGAATGGTTTTTGACAAGACAAACTTGTTTAAACTCTCAAAAATCCAAGTTGATAAAATAGTTCCATAGAAGTCAAATAGTTTTTTTTTTTTTTTACATACATTTAAAACCTTAAATAAATATACAAATACCTACTAATTTAAGCTAATAATATGTTTAATTTGTTTTTCACATAACATGATCATGCAATAAAAGTTTTTTTTTCTTTTCTTCTTACTTTGAAAGCTTTATTAACTGAATTATGATATTTCTTTCCTTTTTTTAAAAAATTAAGTAAGGAAAAAAAAAGCATATCTGTAACAAGAATTGATTAACAGAAGCATTGGGATGATATAGATTTGAATAATTATGTTACCAAAGAATTACTAACTTAGACATTTAATTTACATAAGAATTCTTAAACCATATATTTCTGTTTTATCAAATTATTTTAAACAGAGAAATGAAATGTGAATAATTCAAAGGAAAATGCATTTTTTTAAAATAAAATAATGTATATTGTACAAACGTTAGTCAAATCAGTTTTAAAAGGTGATATAATACATCTAATCAGTTTTGGGAAATTCCGTTGTTTAGATATATATAAAGGGTCCCCAAGCACAAAATATATCTTTTGAGAAAGTAAAAACTTGATTGAGAAAACGTAGTTACTTTTTTACATTAACCTACCTACTTGCTAAAACATTTCTGCAGTTATGAAATTTACTGACCCTACTGAATTAATGAAATTTACTGAACTGAAATATTTAAATTTATTTTTTTCACAATAAAACAATTTTAAATATAAAGTATGAATTTCATTATAAAAAATTTATAGATTATCATGATTTGTACATAACTTCATTAAAACTTTTAAATCTTGTTTAAAAATTAACTCACTTAGTAATATAAATGTGTATAAATTACATAAAAGTTTAAAAAAATGAATAAGATTAAAGAAAGAAGAATTTATTATGAAGAGTCAAAGCGTGCATTTTATTATTTACAAATCAGTTCTAGATATTAAGTTCATAAAAATAAAATACAAACTAAAATAAACTGAAATATTTATACTATTTCTATTAAATTAACATTCTATGCTTCAAGATTTTTAATTAACCTTTTTAAAATTTTGAAAACACGAAATAAGGCATAATCACAAAAATTTGTGAGATTAATTCATAATATTATTTAAATTAATTTTATAACAAGACACAATAAATATTTTTTAAAAATCACAATTCAATGAAATAGAAAAATTATTCATGAAAATCTATTTTAAATACTAATTCCCTGACCTGTGAGTCTTATTACATACAGTTTTAATACTTTTAAAATATACCTAACACCTTGCACCTTTTAACTGGTGAATTACTTCTAGAATTCTAGATCTGATGTATTTCTTATTCTTTAAATACTAGAACTTATTCTAGAAGTTCACTTTCACTGTACATAACATAAGACACAATTGGAAAGGTAATGTCAACGTTTGATTGCAAGCATTTTCCTGTTAAAAATTCAAAAAGTGTCTCATCTGAATTAAATAATTTATCTCTTCACTTAAACATTTATTACTTTTTCATAATTATAAAATAGAACAGGAAAATCCTAGGTAGTTAAACTCTATTACTGTCAGTAAAAATATAGTTCCTAATTTATTGGGGAGATTTCCGTATCGTGATCTGTGGCAAAATAAGCGCCAAATCTTCTGGGCAGCGGCTCGAGAGAAACTAATACTAAAACATCACAGAAAGGTATAACTGGTAGCCATTCTCGGTCAAACATCTACATATTTGTTTTTAAAAAAATTTTCAAGCTTAAAATATATTTGGCATTTTGGCGATTGTAATTTGCGCGTCAGATCAAGATATCCCCAATTTATCAATGTAAATGACGTTGATAATAAAATGTGTAAATAATTTTTGTTATTAATGGCTTAGTTATTAATCAAATTACAGTTTACAACAACTATAAAGTATTAAACAACTATAAAGTATTAAAAAAATGTGAAGAAAAAAAATTTGGAAAAAAAAAAAAACCATTTAATTCAATGAAAAAAAAAAACAGGTTTTTCACAACCCTGTCTAAGACATGCAGAAAAAAAAATTACTTTACTATCTTTAATAATATAAATCTAATAAGTCTTAAATTCTGGTCATACTTGTATAATAGAATTCAAGTTATACAATAGAAAAAATATCAAAAGAAGGACTGCATTTTAGCACACATGAAGGAGGGGGAGAGGCATAATAATCAATTTATATTGAGGCCCACTATTTGCCAAAAATTAAAGTGATATTGTCAGTTGTAAGGAAGAGGAGTGATGAACACAAATTACAAATGATAACAGCTTTTTATTATCGAAAGCCGTTTTATTATCGGCCTTGTAAGCAAACAACTCAACATATCAGAAAGTGTGTTGACACTGTTAATATTTACATCTTTTGAATATAAATAAGGCAAAACAAACAGTGTAATCTGAAAGTGCCATAAATCAGAATGGAACTGTTTTTATAAGGCCTAATTAAAAGGAACGGACTGCATGGGCTGAGTTCATGAGTCTAGCAGGCAATTGAAAGAAATTATTAAATTCATTGCAAATTAGCATAATTAAGTCTCATAAACTATGATTGCCAGGGTAATTGATACATTTGTGAATGCAATAATTTAATATTAAACTATTACCCACCTTTCATATAATATTCTTAACTCTAGCAAGGAGCATGAAAAATGCAAATGTTCTAAATTGCAAAAATTAAAAGGGCAATCAATTTAAAACAACGCATGATTTACTGAATTTTTAAAGTTAAAAATAAAAGTAACAAAACACGTTTAAAAGGCATCAACGCAAAGTTTTTGATCTAGTCTGGCAAGGTCATAATTTTAATGCCGATGGTGAAATCAATAAGGGGATATTTTAGACATGTTTTCTTTGAGGGGGAAGGGAGATATTTAGGATATTAAAATTACATTATACTTTGAACAGATCTATAAAATTACATAGGTGAAAAAACTAAATCAATTACCTGAGATTGAGCGATGAAACGATTAGCAAACACTCTAAAAAGCGCCATTTTCATTCACAATTATTGGAAAATAAATAGAAACTCAAGATCTGGCAGAAGAAAATGTTTCAATATATTTACAAATTTATAGATTTGAGAGAACCGGTTGATTTTAAAAATTTTGCCGAAATCTAATCCATTCAGACGGCAGAACACGTCGTTACAGTACCTGAAAGCAACCTATGCCGGATTTGCCATCATGCACAGAGCATACGCGTAGAGGTCAACTAATATAATATTAAGCTAATATAACTAATTACGCTATCCAACAAACATATAAGTAAATAAATCTTTAAGCTCAATAAGATTTTTTGAAAATTTTTAAAGGCTCATATTGTTATAAATGCATGGTTATTCACCGAACTATTTTATTACGCGGTCTCAACCTTTCACGCACATACCGGTTCATGAAAATTGTGCGATACAGTCATTCAATAGTGAGAGAAATCGTTTAGTTAAAAATCAACTGCAGTCATTTCTTAGGAGTGGTCTGATTATTGTAATTATATTTCCTGATAACTACTATCAGTTACCAGTATCAGGAAAACATCCGAAAATAGGATTATTGGAAACATTTTGTTCAAGGTAAAGATAATATCTGCTATTTTTATTCATTCTAATCAAGTGACAGCTGATTTTATCAGTAGTTCTCGTTTCAGTATCGTCTGCTAAGTTGACGCTTGCTTTGAAAAGATTTGATGAACTTTTATAAATATCAGTGTGCAAATATTTTGAATATGATAGTTTTAATAATTAGATTTTATCTCTGATTTTTGATATTTATGTGTATTTTTAATGTTTGGTGATGAATGATTGCTGTCACATGACACAGAATGTGATTCGAATGAAAGCGTGATTTAATTTAACAGCATAACGTTCTTTTATCTTCGTAACATTAATAATCACAAATATTTTTTTTTATCAGTGATAATTTTTTTACTAAATGTAAACATACATAACATTGAATGTTTTTCTAGGATTTGATGTGATAACTCTGATAAATATATTGATTTCAGTAACAAACTTATATAAATAGTAATAAACTTATTCATAATTTACATGTTACATTTTTAATTTAAATCAGAATATTACAATACTCCCCCCTCCCAATAATACAAATAAAAATTAGCTCCCAGTTTTATTAAAAAATTTATGCTCTTATTTTTTAAATTTAATATTTTCTTTTATAAAAAAAAGATAAAACTTAAATGCCTTGAATTAAAATCTATCACTTTTATTTTAATGGCAAATATTGTTACCTCAAATAATGAAAGATTTACATTATATCTCATATTTGGTCGACCAAACACATTGATCCCATTTTTTTCTTCAAATAATTAATGCAAGACATTTTTAATATACTTCCAAAAATAAAAATTATCAACTCACGTATTTATGCCTCTATGCAACATTTTTTTCCATCTATTATAGAATTGAAAATTACCCTCCCTGTTTAATCTCTTTTTTTTTTTTTATAAACTGTTAATTCAACTAATTTTATCTAAACTGTAATTAATTTTTAAATTTAATTTCTTTTTAAACGAAAACATTTCTTTTTCAAATGAAATGATTAAGACTCAAAGGATTTAATTAAAATCGATCATTTTTGGTTTAATAGCTAACAGCGTCAACTCAGTGCTCTCTCTAAGTGTTTTTTTTTCTTTTTTTCTTTCTAAATTTAAGGGCCCTGCTTCTGCCCTTTTGCCCTTTGATCCCAATAAACATGGCATCTTTGCCCTTTTTCTAAAAATAAGCCACAATCCCTTAAAAACATTACCTTTTTATTCATATTGCATTTTGAAAAAAATTAATTCACCGTTTAAATAAGAACTACACACTGGTAAGATTATCTGGGTTTGTGGTTTAACTCAGATCTGTATTATAAATATTTACTTTGTTAGGATTATTCTCAATTAGTTAAATTAAAGTAGTTGATGGTTAAAAAAAAAGCTTTCAAGTTCTTTATCTATTAATCATTTTTTGTTAGTTTACTTTTTTTGAAGGAAAAAAAATATATGCACAGGGATTGCGTTTTAGCATGCCTTTAATTATTTTTATAAACTACAAATTTTTCTTTTGTTTTGATAATAAGAGAAAATTACTTTTTGAAATATACACATAATATAGTATATGAGGGTAATTTAAAAATTTCTGAGAATAAACTTCAGTTATTACATAATATTACACATTTTGATAAATTTTTACTATGTTAAGTGAGTGCCCCTCTGAAACTCCAAGTGCCCTTTTCAGTAAACGTCTTGCCCTTTTTTTTATTCTGAAGGAGAACTCTGGTTAATTAAAATAACAAAAGATGTACTTGACATTTTTCAAAAATGATGTAATTAATAAAAGAAGTTTTTAACTTGGGTTTGTAATCAAGAATTTAGATTTTAAAAAAAATCTAAATTAGATGAGTAAAATGTATACTTTCTTCTTAAATAACAACAGCTTCAACTTTTAATAAATCACAACATTATAATTACCAATCCTAGTGTTTTGTTTTTTCTTAATTATGTAATAGTTTAATAATTTTCTTATGTAATAGCGCATACCATTTTTTATTTATTTATTTTTGAAAAAAATAAGGGGATCCCTCCTAACTCTTGTGATGTATGAGAGCTTATATCTTTCTTTTCGAATTACAAATCTGAGCAATGATTTCAATTGATAGACAAGAACAAATTACATTTTTTTATGGACTAAGTCAGTAATTTTCTTTCTTGCTAGCATTTAAATGGCTGAACCATGCCTTTCGAGTCTATTATTATATAATAGCATCTAGTTTTACATTTATCATGGAATTTTTTTCCTCCAATTATTGCTAGATTAATTAATAATGCTAAACAAATTATACTTTGACCCAGGGGTCTTCAAGCTTTTAAGCCACACTGATGATTTCTCTACGAAGTCCCGTTGTCGTATTTTAATCTATCGAATATTTAATATAAGAAACATCATTTTCATTTCTTATCATTTTATTATAATTTAAGCAAAAATATTCGATATTATGTAAAAATGGTTACTAAAAATAATTACAAATTCTGAATTCAAATCATTTGATGATTTCTTAATTTCTATTTTTTTAACCATTATTTAAGTGAGGTTTATTTGTAAACTTTAATAAGAGAGGTGCTATTTATACCATCTTGGATTGACATTATTCAATACTTATCAAAATAATTCATTTTTTCTTTTGAAAGCTGTTATTCGAAGGCTCTATCGTAAAATGAAATTATGCTGTTTTTACAACTTCTGTGAGTTTGCAACTCTTACTCATGACTGAAAGCCAGCGCTGTCTACTCTTATTTGGAAAATTGCGCAAAACATCAATATGGAGAAAAGTCATAGTTTTGTGAGAATGGAAAACGTTTGTGGTCTATTTTTCTAATATTTAAAAACTCACTACAATGCTGCATTACCTGGGTTTATAAAAATTTGCACAAACAGAGATTACAGCAGTGATTTTGATAATTTTCATTTAGGTGGGAAAATGTCGCCAAAATGGCGATTTTTTTAAAAAAAAGATTAAAAACTTATAAAATATTTAAGTAATTTATTTGTTCTAAAGCCCAGATAATTCTTCGCGGCACGATTGTATGTATAGTTTAATATCATCGCATTGCTTCAAGTGTAAGGCGCTGAAACTGGGGCTTTTTTATTTTCCTTGGCGACCGAGCTTCGAAAAACAGCGTTAAGGAAAAAAAAATGGGTGTAACTGTACTTACTTGTTTTCCAGAAACTAAGTATGATAGAATTTCCGTCGAAATAATGACGAAGTTTGTCTGTAACTTTTCATTATCGTCAAAAGAAGTATTTCATGGGGAAATAGAATACTTCAGTTCCAATACTTTTGAACCGAATCCTTATTTCGTTAAAACTGAAATCTTTAGGTAAACAAGATATCAGGTTAACACATTGCCGCACAACCTGTTTTCTTCATTTCATAAATTGAAGGATTAAAGCCTTTAATTCCTGTCTAATAAATAAATGTATCAAAAGTATATTTATCTCCTTTTACAAATTGATGAGAGATAAAAGTTTCCTCTCCTGATTTTTTTAAAGAAATTATTTTTTTCTCCGGAAAGTTAAAAATTAGAAACTAATATGCAGATAAAAAAATTAAATTGAAATTTTAAAAACTGCTTTTTTCAGATGGATTGAAAAGGAGAACAACATTCTATTTTTGTCTCACCTAAAACAAGAGATATTGACTACAAGCGCATCACTTTTGAAAGACGTGTGGGGACGGAATTTTCAGAGGTGATAGAAGTTTATTTCAAAAGTGATCCGTCCTACCTTTTCCGTTTTAGGGATTACAAAGAAAAAATTATTTTTTCCTTATTAGTCCATTTGAAAAACGTTGTTTTTTAAATTTTTATTTTAGATTATTGTTTTTTTGTTGTTGTTGTTTTTTTAATCTTGTATACGAGGAAAATTGTCAAAATACTAACTAAAAATAAAATGGAGATTAATTCCGCTTCAAATAATTTCAGCTTATATTGTCTTTAAGCACAGAGCTCCGGTTAAAATTTTAGCTCTGTAGCTAATCAAAAAGTGGTTTAATTTTCACAGCAGACTCTCTTTGACAATTCTCTAAGACGATATTTTCTGCTTGTTGAGTTCAGGAAATGATTTAACCATGTATTATCATCAGGCATCGGGATCACTCTAGATAGTTAAATGTGGTCAAAATTTTGATTGAAGATAATCAAATAAGATGATTAATCAAATAAGAGGCCCTGCAATTTTGAACCCATTCCAGAAGACAGGGGAACTCCTGGATCAAGTATTGGGAGAAATTCGCCTTCGTGGAGGAATTTTTGATGGAACTAACCCGCATTTTCGTTATATAGGAAGGAAGGCCACGAAACCTCCTATGTTAAACTGACGGCAAGGGGACTCCAACCTATGATCTGTTTACTACTGAGAGTATTTTACGTCAGCATTGTGATCGGTGCGTGCTGGGTGCGGAATTCGAATCGACCAGCCACCGCTGGGATTCGAACCCGGTGCACTTCATTGGAATGTGAACGCTCTATCTCCTAATCTCCCACAAACAAATTAACAGAGAATTTAAATAACTGTGCGTTTTCAAATTGTGATTGGGTTTCGACCTTGCATTTTTTACCTGCATGGGAAAATACTGCCGAACAGAGTAAAGATTCATCATTATTTTATTTCTGAAAATTAAATAAAAATTATTAATAACATATTTAAAATTTCTCCTTTCCACCTCCACCCCTACGATAGTTGAATTCGGTCGGGAGAGGAAGGACCAGGAGGAATTCTCCGTAACTCAAATGTCCCCCATTCAGATTATGCTGTTGATTTTCATATATTCTGTTTTCAATCAAAATATTTGAATTCTCTCTCTGTAGAAAGAATGCAAAATCGATGTCACGTCTTAAATAAAAAAAAGAAAGACAAAGAAAAACACGCAATTTTGCGAAAAAATAGGAATTTATAAATGTGTAAAACCTTGAGAGACAGTTTCAGAAAATGCATTATTAATGAATAAATGCTATTTTCGATGGAAATGTGTTGTATTTAATTTGACTTCAAAACAGGCTCGAAATTTTGAAATT